GGGTGTATAGGATCATAAATCAAACATAAGAAACGAATGAGGCATATGAAAAAAATAGGAGGCATGTTAATTAACCTCAATAGGAGTTCAAAGAAGTTTCGGTCCCCGATCAAACATTTGCAAGAACATGAAAGTGCACATGAACATGAAAGTGCACCTGTATGAATAAATTCCGATGTGAATTAACATTGATTACCCTTGATAGACGCGTTGAAAAAACAAACAAACGAACTGACTTTTTTTTTTTTTTTATCGTTCGTGCTTTGCGGTTTTGCTGTGTTCTTTGTGTTGCACTATGTCTTCTTTGTTTTTCTTTTTTTTCTCTTTTCTAACTGACACTATATTACTCTTCATGACGTGCCCATATACAAATACGTACGTACGTGCCCATTAATTTGGCAGAGGACCAAGACCCATGTGACACTTCAACCAATAGTAATCTATCCACCATTCCAACCTTCTCTTCACCTGCGGATAGGTCCTTGCATGTTCCGTGAAAGTGTCGAAAACGCCAACGGCCTTTTGAAAGGGTTGTTAATGATCCTTTTGTGTCCTCGCCGATAATATCAGAATGTACTCCGTGTCCTTTCAGTGTTCCAAGTCAAGTCGGTTTGTCTCCGTTCAAGGGGCCTTTTTCCTCATCCAACCATGGATTGGGACTGCGTATAGGTTCGGATATTACTCCCTGTCGCTCTACGAGTGAGACGGCAATGCCATCACAACACGAACACCGCAAACGAGGACGACCACCTTCCCAAAATCGTCGAACCCGGAGGTCTTTATTAGAAGCGGTAGGTGCTGTAGGTGAGCCAACTGCTCGCAGGAGAGATAAACAACCGGTGGTAAGTCAAGATTATACTCTTGATTGTTCTAATGAAGAACAATGTAGTGATAGGACTCTATCTTTTCGACAATCAATTCCATCGACGAAAGATTTCACAAGCCCCGTGTTTTTCAACAGAATGAGTCGAGGAGATAATAATGTTGGTACAGATCACATTAGTTATCATAAAAATCTCTTTATAGCCTTGCAAAGTGAACGTCCACTTGAAATTCGTACGGATGTTGCAATAAATGCAGATTCTGTTTCGATTGTCGAAAGATCCGTTTTACTCGATAATTTTCGCTCGAACTCGGCACATGTGCACAATTGTTCATCATCCACATTGACTGCCGATGTCCCACAAAAATTTGTGGAGAGTAATGTTTGTCCTCCCTTGATGGATGTTCGCGCAAATTCATCTTCTGCTGGCACGACCCCGCCGAATTCGCCGAACACGTTGATTAAAAAGTTTGTTGGATTTCATAATCGATGGAAAATATTATTATTATGAAAACCGATTCGTTGAAGGCGCAACCGACGGTACCGTATGTTATTAATTCGACAGGTCCGTGCAAATAAAGTCGTGCGTCGTTTGAAACTTGGATCGTTATCGTCGATGCCTCACCATGTGTCATCAGGCTATGATGCAAGTGCAATAGTTGTTAAAAGTACTGTACATGCTGGTGAAAAAATGAAACAAGTCGATAGAATGAATGTGAACGAATCATGTTCTACGTCACGTATAATTTCAAAACGAACGAAAAGGCAGGGAAGACGACCAAACGTTCATGTTAAACGTATGCGTGCATTGAGAGCTGCGCTTAAGAGTCATAGGAGGAAAGAAGATGTGCGTGCTCATAAAAATTTTGTACGGGGTGTGAGGCGACGTTTGTTCGTTGTGAATATCCTTCGAGAGATTCGAGCCAGCGCCTCTGCGCAATCGAGGAGTGCATCTTCTCCTGCGAGACAATCGCGGAGTCAATCTTTCGGACGAGACCTTCGTGGAGTGCATCTTCGCGAGCAAGGCAATCGCAAAATTCGTCCGTGAGAAATCGAAATTCAATGAACAATCATGAAGACAGTGAACCAAATAGTCGYGATGAAGAAATTAATGATTTGCATGATGTTCCGGCTCCTGATCTTAATGCACTGCCATCGGCACCTGTGGGAACAACGTATGCGGCGGTTGAGAACACTGTAGCGATTTTTGGGAATGGTAGCACTGTTGAACCATTCGGCATTGGCAGTCGAGATCCGTGTAAGCATTGTGGTGCTAAATTGTGGCATCATGAAGCAAAATGGACAAAGATGTGTTACCGAAAAGGTAAAAAATGTTATCCTTTATAGGAATGACCTTGCGAAGGCTTGCCGGAGCATGAGATTCTTTCCCTTTGGACATATCAAAGTTCCGACGGCTGATTCCTTCGAAATAATGCGAGGATAATTAATAATAGTTTATACCTCGCATCCTCACGGTTGAAGCAGCCGAGCGATGATATTCAAGGATTTCAGGGTCAACTTCGGGCTCAAGGTCCAATCTTTCATCGTATCGGTGCATTGGCTGTCAGGGAAGGAGAACGTCCTCAGTTTGCGCAACTATACTTGTATAATCCTCAACGTTTGAACGGTGCGATTGATCAAAGAGTGAATTTCCTTAACTTACCTGCACGTACACCCGATGCCGAACTTGATCGAGCGAAACGAATATTGAGAAGGTTTAACGAATTGCTACAACAATGTAACAATTACGTGAAGGACTTTATGACGGTTGCAGACCTTCCTCAGGAAGCCTTGAATGGGAGGAAGTTGGTCATAAATCCGGATGTCATACCTAAGGAGGAACATGCAAGGCGTTATAACTGTCCTATGGGTCTACATGAGGTGTGTGTTCTGATGGCCGATGAACTCCTTCCTCGTGAGTTGGAGAGTCGTTTGCGTGCTCCTCTTCCTGGTGAGCGGCAGACAGTTGTGGTTCCAGAATGTTCTCGAGCGCACGATTGCTTAAGGTTTGTTTTACTTTTCCCGGAGGGAATTGATAGTTGGTCTGTCCGACGTGCCTCGCAGGCTGGATGGCCGCCAGGACTTAGTGCCAAGGCGTACTATGCATTTCACCTTTACGAGCGCGATGGTGAAAGGCCTTGCCTCCTTTATGCAGCACGTCTCTTCCATGAGTTTTTTGTTGCATGGTGTATGCTGAAGTTGAATCCCTCCGCTTAAAATGGGTGAGATTCCACCAAAAAAAATTGCGCTCAGAGTATTTTCAGGATTTACGCGATGCTGTGCAACAAAATCAACGTGGTGACGATACTAGGACAAAAGTGATTTTGCCGTCAACCTTCACTGGGGGGTCTCGATATATGAGTGAAAGATATCACGACAGCATGGCAATTGTGAGACGATTCGGAAAACCGGATTTTTTCATCACTATGACGTGCAAAACAAATTGGCCGGAGATCAAACAAGCCCTGTTGTCAGGTCAATGTCCTAACGAAAGGCCGGATCTTCTCGCACGAGTGTTCAAAGGTTATCTTGCACAACTGATTGATGAGATAAAGAACGAACGGATCATTGGCAGGGTGAGTGGAATGTTGTATGTGGTGAAGTTTCAAAAAAGGAGTCTACCACACGCACATATATTGGTTATCTTGCATATGGATGATAAAATTCGGGATGCGGATGCTGTTGACAATGTGGTGTGTGCCGAGATTCCTCCGGAAGGGGAATTGAGAAAAAGGGTGACCAAGTTCATGTTGCACGGGATTTGTGGTGCGGAGAAACGCGATGCTTCGTGTACGGAGGATGGAGAATGCACAAAAGGGTTTCCGAAAGACTTCATTTCCACAACAACATTCAAAGACGAGCAAACGTACCCTTCGTATAGGAGAAGGAAACCAAGTGACGGTGGTTTTACGATTGTTCAAAATAGTATCGTTTACTATAATCGGCGTGTGGTCCCGTATAACACGTACTTGCTAATGAGGTTTAATTGTCACTTGAATGTTGAATATTGTGCTAACATCAAGGCGTGCAAGTACGTGTATAAGTACGTGTACAAAGGGTGCGATTGTGCTATGGTTTGCGAGCAGGATAATAATGCGCCCATCGACGAAGTTAAATTGTATCAAGATATGCGTGTTGTAGGTGCATGCGAAGCATGCAGGCGTCTATTTAAGTTTGACGGTGCGGAACAATGGCCCACGGTGGAAAGATTGGCCGTGTATCTCAAAAATATGCAAAAAGTGCAATTTGAACCTGACACTGAGCATGAGGTTGTTTCGCATGAACCCTCGAAAACGAAATTGACGGCATGGATGGAACACAACTCTTTGAATGAAGGTGTTCCATAAGAGGAGCTTCCTCTTTACGCAGAAACCATTAATACTTATGTATGGGATAACAAACATAAGAAGTGGAACCGAAGAAAGCGTGATCTCCACGGTGGTCCCTTCGAAAAGATATCCCGGTTGCATCACGTGAGGATCACCGAAGGGGAACGATTCTACATGTGCGTGTTGTTAAACCATGAACATTCTCGTGGGGTGCGCTCTTTTGCCGAAATTTCTATGGTGAACGGAGTCGAATACGATTCTTTCAGATCCGTGTGTGTTCGATTAGGCCTTTTGCAAACAGACGATGCATACGATCAATGCATCGACACAACTGCGACTCATTATATGCCTGAAGAAGCTCGTAAAATATTTGCTATGGTTCTCACGTTTGGTCCTGTGAACGATCCTGTCCGTTTCTTTGAACGACACTAAGATAAAATGTGTGATGATTTTCAATATTGTGCGGGCAACGAAATTGTTCCGCCGAACATTTTGCAATCCTTAGTGTTATTCCATCTTGACCGTATTTTACAGGAGTTTGGAAAAAACATCCGTCAATTCTGCCTTTATTATCCAACACCAGACGGGGAAACAATTGCTGAGAACATAACAAGACATTACGAGAATATAACCGTATCCTCGATTCTAAACGACGAGTTATCGTATGATCCGATTCAAATGCAACGCAAATATTATTCTAATTTTCGACGTCTTCGTCCACGTTAACGAGTGTTGGTGGAAAGAGTCGTTCGGGTTGTGCAAGAGAAAAGACCGTTGCGTGCTTTTGTCAGTGCACCGGCTGGAACAGGAAAAACTTTTTGCATTGAAACAATTTTGGCGGACATCAGGTCCCGTTCTGGGATTGCACTGACCGTCGCGTCTAGTGGCATAGCGGCGACTCTTTTAACGGGGGGTCGAACGTTTCACTTCCGATTTCACGCACCTTTGAAACCTGATAACACGCGTCCTTTCTTGATTGCGAAACAAAGTGATCTTGCGGAACTTATCCGCCGTGCCGACTTGATTGTTTGGGACGAGGCTCCGATGAGTAACAAGTTTCACTTGGAAGCTCTTGACATTACGCTTCGGAACCTTTGTAACAATGACGAGCCGTTTGGTGGGAAAGTTATACTTCTCACTGGAGATTTTAGACAGGTTTTACCCGTTGTGAAACATGGATCCGAGCGCAACAGATTGATGCGTCCATAAAAATGTCTCCTTTGTGGAAACTTTTTGAGATTCATCAACTGACTGAAAATATGCGAATCTTAAGCTTAGCAGATGACGAAGTGACACGAATTTATGACCACTGTTTGATGCGTATTGGGAATGGTGATCATCCTCGCGTTGTTCCTAATGAACCTGCTGCGGTCAGATTGACACGTGAGATTGTACGGGAAAACCAATTGATGAATTGATTTCATGGACGTTTGATGACGTGTCCAACCATGTGCGCGATGCCGAGTATTTCTTGCCTCGATTAATTCTATGCCCTACTAATGACGATGCCGGTTCTGTTAACAACCGTGTTCTTGACGACTTTCCTGGGGAGGTGCATGAACTTTTCAGTGTAGATTATCCTGATTCAGATGATACCGGGCTTGGTATTGAGCGGGAGTTTTTAAACTCTCTCGATGAATCTGCCCTTCCACCTCACAAGCTGCGCTTAAAAATAGGTGCACCTCTGATGCTTTTGCGAAATTTATCACCAAAGCAAGGACTTTGCAATGACACAAGGCTGATTCTGAAAAAGATCGTTAATGATCATTTGTTGGAAGTGACAATAATGCACACGCGTAAAACAACACTAATCCCCAAGATTGATCTGACAAGCGATGGTGAGACTACTGGGTTCAAATGGTTTGGAGACAATTTCCAGTCCGTCTTGCTTTTGCTGTAATGATTAACATGCGCAAGGACAAACGGTATCACGTGATGGGGTTTGGCTACGCAAACCGTTTTTTTCACATGGCCAACTGTATGTTGCTTTGTCATGTGTTGGCCATCCCAACAACATCCGTGTTGCGTTGCCTGATAATTTTTTTTTTACGAATAATATTGTATATCATGAACTTTTGAGATGAGTTTTTCTTTTTCTGTTTCATCGACCCTTGGCATTCCAAATAATTCGATCATATTCTTTCTTTGCAGGCGACTCTCGAATGCCGCATAAGTACGACACTCGTGCTAAGAGGAAAGCAATGACAACCAGCAATACCACTCAGTATGATACGAATATTACGTCGAAAGTTGGAGCCGAACATTCGGAGAAGTCGAAGAAAAGTGGGAATGATGAGATGTCGGTGAATCTTGGAAGTGAACATGCTTGGGATGATCATCCTATTTTGCGTGAGGTTGAACGTGAACGTTCTCAACAGAATACCCTTGATGATGCTGAGAAAATGGTTGTGGAGGGGGATGCTCACAATTGTTGTGTTGATGGGGATGGTTCGTATAGAGGTCAGTCGGGTAGACTTATTAACCTTACATTTCACGATCTCGAGGATGATAACGTTACCGATGATTCGAAAGGAGACTTGGTTGAATCTACATTGGTGAGAAAAAAGAGCCGTCGTGCGAAAACTAATGTTTTGGATTCGCCCCGAGTTTCCGAGCCTACGCTCAATAATAATCGGGTGGAACGGCAACCGGTTGCTCATAAAACGGGAACTCAGATTTTAAGAGCGATAAATCAGCTCCCTGCCGAGGCACTTGCATCTCTTGAATTTTGTGCACCGCTCGCTGGACGTGCACGTGTTCTTGATTCGTGTTCGCAATTTCAACACAGTGGACGCGAAAGAGATGTTTGTGTCACATCTCAACCGCAAAATCGTGCGGGTGTTATTGTGGTGTCCGACGATAAGCATGAACCCGCAATCCATGCTCCGAATCCGCGTGCTTACCTTGGAAAATGGTTCGAGGATGCGAAGAAGGTTGGCATACAAAATGTTTTGACCGAGCTGCTTTTTGAAATGTTTGTCAAAAGTGCCATAGTCGTAAAAGATAGACGAATATGAGAAAACTTCCTCGAGTGGAAAAGAAACAAACTCACTAACATGCGGTTGCAACGAAAATCCCTTGAGGCTCTTCCGTCAAACGCGTTGAATGTTTCGGATTTGGAGGCTTTTTCCATGTTGAATTCACTTTTGACCGATGAGTATATTGCTCTCTCTAATGAGGAGATTAGTAGGATGACATTTGATTTGCCACATTGTCCGACAGAAGGGCTCATTCCCCAACCCTTTCATAGATATGCACGGATACAGCAGCTTCTCAAAAGGATTCCTCCCGTGGTTGCTTCTTCTAGTCCTCATTGCGTTCCGGTCCGTAGACTCCCCCTTCAAGCAGCATCTCCTCCAAATTTTCAACGTCTTGCGGATTATGCTTCACCATCCAATATGTCAATGCCGATTGTCACTACTTCTGTTGTTGTTTCTGCTTTGCCGGCCGCTACAGCTACTTCGTCTCCTGTCAGTTGTGTTGTGCCCGCTATTACGCCATCAACAGACAATCTTCATATCCATACAGGACCCTTGGAACAACCAAGTTCTTCTAATTTTAACATTGTCGTCTATGACTGTCTTGAGTCTATTGGTCCCAAAAAGACACTTGCACATCTGTCCTATCTTGACAGTTCTCATATGGTGCAAGATATTGTGGAAGAAACAACGAAATTGAATACGAGCATGAACACTTGGAGATGTGTGGATGCTGCAATTCGTCTCGATTACAATCGACAAAGACAGGGTTGATTCAGAACTTTTTAGGAGTATCGTTGGAAAATGTTGCAACACGTTTCTATTTGTGAGGTGCTGCAAGAGTATCGTTCCAGTGAAGGAAGTTGATTGGTCTTATAAGAGATATAGGAAGTGAGAGATGTTGATTGGGCGGTCGTCCAGGCGGTGCGTTAATGGCAGATTTTTTTATGGTCAGTTTCGGTTTTGATTAAGTAATTGCCCTTATAAAAGAGATAGGAAGAGAGATAGAAATAAATGGGGGAGCGGGGAGAGAGAGAGAGAGAGAGAGAGAGAGAGAGAGAGAGAGAGAGAGGAAAATAATTTTGATTTGATATTATTGCATATTTTTTATGTCAAGGTGGATTCCATTACACAATAATTGTGCCTTGATCATATTGCGGGCGCTTGCTAACTTTAATGGAACGATAAATCCTCATATTAAACTTCTTCTCTTTGTATACTTGTGTTTGTGTTTCTTTATTCTTTGCYCTTTTGTTGCTCTCTCTCTCTCTCTCTCTCTCTCTCTCTCTCTATGTCTCTATCTTTTCTTTTCTTTCTATCTCTCTTTGTCTGTCTCTGTCTCTACTCGGCCTTCCTCCCTCTTCTTTTTTTATTATTTAAATTGAATTTTCAATTTGTCACTTTTCTTTTTCGTCAGTTAAACTCAGACTTCGTAGTCAGTTTTGGGCTATTTTTTATCACCCTGTGATTCAAATTTTTTTTTTTAAGTTTGTTTAAGTTTATGTGAGCGGTTTGTGTTAGGTTCCCTACAACATTTCTTATTATTGCGGGCATTGCCCGCACCGCCCACACCGCGGGCGCTTAGATAGTATATATATATATATATATAACATGTTATTCGTTAAAACAATACATTATTGTGTGTACTGTTTTGAAACGAATTTAGGACACATTGACACAGTGTATATTTTGGGGAAGTATACCAGATCCGGCACATCCGAACCAGTAGTGAAATCACTTTCGAGTCCGACGACTGCAGTCGATATGTGCTAAGACACAGTAAGAGTGAGCACCGGACTCATCCGAATCCGAAGAGTATAATGACTTGAACTGATGCGTGTTGAGGAGAAAAATGAGTTGAACCTCTTAACATACGATTGTGTAGATTTGAAGGCCACTGTTACAGCAACTGAGCACATTCCAGCATCAATAAAGTTTGGCATCGGACATATCCGACTTAGATGACTCGTATTTATGAGTGTGCGAACCAGAATGAATTGCAGTTGTGCACCAATGATTGTGTATATTTGAAAAGAGAGAGAGAGAGAGAGAGAGAGAGAGAGAGAGAGAGAGAGAGAGAGAGAGAGAGAGAAAGAGAGAGAGAGTCTCGGAACGTATGTCGAAAGAGAAAGAGAGAGAGGGGGAGAGAGAGAGACAGAGAGAGAGAGCATGCAGATGATTGTACTGAATTTTCTTCCATCTCGACACGTCACATAGGAGACGCATGGTCGAAGAACATGCGAAGAGCAAAAGTCTAGCTGTAAAAGAGCTGCAAGGTTTCTCGACAGGCGAGAGTAAGCCAACTTCGGATGTATCCGAGATGGCAGGATAGAGAGAGAGTCTGTGGCAAACAACAAATGTGCACTCTACACCGCCGAGAGATCAACAAGACAAGCATCGTCTCGTCATCGATCATAATTCGTGTTTCGGATGCAGCCGAAGTATTGAATCAATAGAGGTATTTTAGTCTCATATCTCCCTATCAGTCAGGGGTACGGTTCAATTTACAAGTGATTGTACCGACTCTCAGGGATTCCTTTCGTTACTATATTAAATCTTTTCATTGTATTGTTTACTGCATAGAACGCATTGTGAGAGCGTACAGATGACTTTATTGATGTTTCTTCCCATGTCGAGGAGATGAAAGGTCAAAGAACACGCCAAGCCCGAGAGCCTCGATTTCGAAAGCATCGTGGATGCTAGTTGGAGAAGAGCATCGATTTGGAAAGCATTGTGGATGCGACAAGCGAGGGAAGGCCACGGTAGGATGCATCCGAGATGACACACACGCACACACACAGACACAGAGAGAGAGAGAGAGAGAGAGAGAGAGAGAGAGAGAGAGAGAGAGAGAGAGAGAGAGAGAGAGAGAGAGAGAGA